AACGGTATGCCTATCCACGACTACACTCTCGTGTGCTTTACTAACGCTTGACAGAATGTGGACTTACAGCCCACGCACACTGCGTCCACCTAGTTCCCGACTTCTGCGGTATGAGTATGGCCGTAGCCAATCAAATCCTGGAAGGTATCAGAGCGAATAAACAAAGGCAAAGCAAAGGTACCTCCCTAAGCGAAAAGACACTGAGGACGGGCAAGATGAGTCCTCCGGGTACATCAGGACCAACTTCGCCGTATAGCGCTCAGGGAACGTCCTCTTATCAACAGAGTATTGCTTCCCAAGAAGCAACTGATGCTGCTAAAGCCATGTATACGACTCAGACGTCGCCAACACGCCCAAGTCAGCCAGATCGAACCTCATCGAGTTCGACTGCTGCCGCCGCCGCTGCTTCAGCTGCTATGGGTGGAACCATGACTTCCCACGGTTCTCGACCTAGTCCTGCGTCTGATTATTCTAGCAGACCAGGTGGATATGGAGGTCCGATAGAATCCCCCGATGATGCATATACCAGTAGCCCACAACAATATAATATCCCTTCGCAGCCAAAATATAACCCTGCCGCATATGCCAACGTTAGCAACTACCCACCTCAGCCAACACTACAGACTCAGCAGTCCCGGCCGATTCCGCAACAAACTGTATCTTCACCGCAACAGGTTCAGCCTTCTATGTATCCTCAAAGCGCCCCAATCCCAAAACCGCAACCGACACAGGAAACACCCTCGCTCACAACAGGCTCTGGTCTGCCACCACCTGCAAGGAGGCCCTTACCCCAAGCAAACGACCCGGGCACTGGGCAGCGCATCGGATTGGATCACTTCAACTTCCTTGCTGTGCTTGGTAAGGGTAATTTCGGTAAAGTCATGTTGGCAGAAACCAAGAAAACTCGTCGTCTGTATGCGATCAAAGTTCTCAAGAAGGAGTTCATCATCGAAAATGATGAAGTTGAAAGTATACGGTCAGAAAAACGGGTGTTCTTGATTGCTAATCGAGAGCAACACCCCTTCCTGACTAACCTCCATGCATGTTTCCAAACAGAGACACGAGTTTATTTTGTCATGGAATACGTTAGCGGAGGTGACTTGATGCTTCACATTCAGCGGGGCCAATTCGGTACGAAGCGCGCACAGTAAGGCTGACCAACAACTCACGCTTTTGCTACGTTCATACTAACATACGCTAGGTTCTATGCCGCTGAAGTATGCCTAGCTCTGAAATATTTCCATGAGAACGGGGTCATCTATCGTGATCTCAAGCTTGATAACATTCTTCTTACTCTAGACGGCCATATCAAAATAGCAGACTATGGTTTGTGTAAAGAAGACATGTGGTATAGTTCGACAACAAGTACATTCTGCGGCACACCAGAGTTCATGGCCCCCGAAGTAAGTGGCAATGTCTATATTTGCTTTCATGAACTGGGTGCTAACGCTTGATAAAGATTCTGCTGGATAAGAAATACGGCAGGGCCGTAGATTGGTGGGCATTTGGTGTTCTGATATATCAAATGCTTCTTCAACAGTCGCCATTCCGTGGAGAAGACGAAGACGAAATCTACGACGCAATTTTAGCTGACGAGCCACTCTATCCAATTCACATGCCTAGAGATTCCGTATCAATCCTTCAAAAGCTCTTGACCAGAGAACCCGACCAGAGGCTTGGCAGCGGGCCAACCGATGCGCAGGAAGTCATGAGCCAACCGTTCTTCCGGAATATCGTGTGGGACGATATATATCATAAGAGGGTCGCGCCACCCTTCATGCCTACCATTAAGAATGCAACTGATACCAGCAACTTCGATTCCGAGTTTACAAGTGTCACGCCTGTACTCACGCCAGTACAATCAGGTAAGAATTTTATCAATATTGTCGTCGATCTCCGGCTAATGCATTGTATAGTTCTCTCCCAGGCTATGCAAGAGGAGTTCCGTGGATTCTCTTATACAGCCGACTTTGATTAAGGCCGGATTTCACGCCCGGGAATAAAATATGGGCTATCAAGCTTCTAGGTCGAATCAAGCAGGCCTTGCGATAGAATTAGAGCCGTGTAGGAACCGAGATGGTATCTAAATGGAGTTGAGTCCTATTAAAGATTGCAGATTGGATCACCTCACGTAAACACCAACCACCTAATATGCAACTGACGCGTGGAGGTTCTCCAAATCTTAAGGGTATGGAGACTGGTAGGCAATGCAACATGCTGGGAAAGTCTCGCATCAGTGTTCGTCTTTAGTCTAAGCCGAACAAGCGACCACAGGGGTGTGTAGCGGGAGACAAGCAAATACTCATGTAGGGTCATCTAGACGGGATCCTGCCTACTTCTTCCGAGAAGAACTGTATGTGGGCGACTGGTGAAGCAAGAATTTGTCAGTACGCAAATGGTGCGTTACTGGGTATAGATATCGTGAGACGCCCGGGGAACCGAAGCAAAAAGGTCTTAAGCTTTTCGTTCACTCACTTTGTTGATACCAGATAGCGTGCTGATTGGATCTAGAGAGCACTTAATGGGACGGATGTTACCTTCGTTTGTGTATTGTATTGATTGATGTATCATGTTGTGCTGCTAGCAGTGTGAACTACTTAGTCTAGCACCAGGTTTTTTACAATGCATTGATTTGTCGTTGATCTCGTTGTTTATATTCACACGAAATGTTTGTGTGTTCCACGGCTTAGGCTGATATCCACAGGACAATTTGCCGAGGATCGAGTAATAACAACGAAGATGTTCAGACGCGAGAGCTTCAAAAGATATATATTTTAAAAAGCGACGTGTCTTGGGTAATTCCATCCACAAGTCTGTATTCTCCACATCGCTAGAAGTATGCACGACGACGCTACATACAGGAACACGCAGAGGGAAATGTCTCCAAGCCAGTTTAACCTCTTAAGTGCCAGTCAATATGATATAGTAAGTATCACTGTAATTCTGGGCCTTCTTTTTTATGGTATTATACAATTCAGATTGAAGTTCATATGCTACATATGGTACAAATATCGACCATCTATCTGCTGATCGTACACGAGGTAATAGAGACAGACCATGGTCGGCCGTCTCTTCTGTAACTAGTTTGAATCGACTAATAGCCAAGACGTGCTTTCTTACACGTTTATTCTAGTTGTCTTTTTGCCCAAGCTCAGGGCGCCAGCCGGATTTTGTTTAATTGTTTGTTCTACTATACGCTTTTTGATCATTAGGCACGGCGGGACAGGAAAATAGCCACGGTCCCCGCGATAGCGGCACCCGTTACCAAGCCCTCGACGGCAATGAGCGATATGTCCCGCATGCGAAGCGCGATCTGCCTGTCGCTTATTAGATCCTCGAGGGCTGAGCGCCAGTAGCTCAGGTCTCTGAGTGCCTCGCGCCATGATACTCTAGGCACGTTACTGGAGGAAGATTCTATACTCGGCGACGGCGGCAGGATTATATCAGATTCCGGCACAGCGACGTCAGGCGCCGCAATGAAGACGGGTTCTTCCTCAATCTTAGTACTTGCCGCGCTCTCTTCGATATCCGCTGTTGGCGTAGTACTAGTAGTAGTAGCGGCGGCGATTGTGGCGAGAGCCACACGCTGGGCCTCTTCCCTATTCGCCCGCTCATCAGCAAGCGCTTCGCGTACCTTCTCCTCGAATCCCCGGACAAGTCGGTTGCGCCTCCAGGGCTCTGCGCCGAACTGGAAGAGTAAGAACAGGAGGACGTTTACGCCCATGAGACCCCAGGTGCCCCAGGTGCTCATGCGACGGATCTTGTCGCTCCAGATCTGCTCCTCGTGGTAGCGGGCGAGGATGCCGGCGCCAAGCTCGCGGGCCAGACGCTCGGCATCGCGCTCGGCCTGCTCGAGCTCGGTGGCCCGCTCCCCCACGGACGCCTCGAGCTCGTAGTCTTGCCGGTACAGCGTCGTGAAGCGCTCGAAGTCGACGGGCGTCCACGTCTTCTGGCGGGCCAGGAGCGTGGTCACCTCGCGCTGGGTGGAGGCGCGATCGGACACGGCGGTCTTGTAGGCGATGCGGGTGGCTGTCAGATGGGACTGCGCGGCGTGGAGATCGGACTCGAGGATCGAAATCTGGGATTTGAGGGATTCGATCGAGGAGTACCCTGTCAGGTCGTTGATCCGTTGCGAGGCGGAGAACAAGGTCGTCTGCGCACGGTCCATGAACGAGGAGAGGGATTGGTTCAGAGCTGAGCGCCGCGAGTTCAGGGTCGAGGGAAGGTCGGGATCCGGCGTGGATGGTGGCGGCTGCGGCGCTGATCCGTCTTGCGCTTGTTCTGGTCTATTTGGGTCTATCGAGGTTTCTCGAGGACCGGAATCCGCGCCATCTGTGGTGTCATCGGCGACATTGTTGGTTGTCGAATGGGAGGAAGGCGACTCGGAGGAGAAGGAGGAAGAAGAAGAAGAAGAGAACGGCGACTCGGGGTCACTCTTGTCGCCCTCATTTGGAGGCTTCGGCGACGAAGATGAGAAGCGTAGCTGTTTCCGACTCGAGGAATAGTCGTGCCGACACCTCCAACATATCGATAGCGGGGGTTGTGCTGGGGCTCTCGAGGCTGCGACAGCACTACTACTACAGAAGAGCTTCTTCGGTATTATCCTTGCGAGCGCTGTTGTCGCTGTTGTCGCTGCCGATCTCGGATTGAATTGGTCGACAACTAGCCTCGAGCCGACCCCAAAAAGGGGTCTGATTGCTCGGGGCGCCGACATTGACAGCTTGACAGCGAACTCTCAAGCTCGGGTCGTGAATTGCAGGCTGCAGTTACTTGACAACCCGAGGTCCAGAGACATGGAGCGCCCGGGTGCGGGTGGGAAGAGGAAGAATTGAGAATTGATGTCGAAGGAGCTCGGGCCAGCCGGAGAGCGGTGCCTGCCTACTCCGTACCAAGTGCATTGACATGTCAGGTAACCGGGGGGGGGGGGTGCTGATGTCAGTTGATCTAATTGCTCGATCATAAAAACATCGACCTGAAAAGGAAATCTGGAGAAAAAAAAGTGGACACGGTCGGGATCGAACCGACAACTCCGGGTGCCAGATAATGAGTCCCGGGCTGTTACCAGTTACACCACATGCCCCTTGAAGTGTTGTGAAAGTATTGTGAATTAGATAATAACATATATAACTAACGCACAGAGATCCCTTACACAACAGAGATTATAAAACAACTTAATTAATACTCTTAAGGTAGGCCGGGAAAACTACGGCATAGTGCCCCGCGCTATTGTGCACCAGGAACCTATCGTACTTTAGCAAATTCAAAGCATCACATCTACGAAGTCTACAGTGGACTGGAAAGCCGGTAAATCATCACATCACATCACATCGCATTTCACCATGGGTCGTCCCAAACGTGATGTCCGTGCAGCTGCCGAAGAGTCCACAACACCGCCCGACGAGTTGACCCCGTCTCAGTATGTGACCAGAGTCATCAAGGCAGAGGGGAACAGCCTTTACTGCTGCATATTGCCTAACCAGCAAACTGTTCTGGTCGAGCTCGCAGCTCGTTTCCGCAACACCATATGGATCAAGCGAGGTGGCTATGTGTTAGTGGACTTGACGCCTACCGATGAGAAGAAGAGCAGGGTGGAGGGTGAGATTGTAAATGTTGTCCGCGAGGAGAAGGAATGGCGCAAACAAAGCTACTGGTCAGTTCGTCAAATGTCACACTTCACGCAGGGCTGACATTGAATCCTAGGCCGAAAGAATTCGCTAAGGCAACTTATGATGACGATGAGGACGAGGAAGAGGAGTCGACCGTCGGCAAGATGCCACCGTCAGATTCTGAAGATGAAGACTGAAAGTCAAGCTATCGCAAGTGAATCATGCTACCTTTCTCTCGCGAGAGGTGTAGCTGGATGAAGTGCGTACTTGCTCTCTTCCAACGGACATCAGAGCCACCGTGGCAGCCAAGACACCTACTACAACTCCCGAGCTGACGTTTGTGCTCGGGAAGACGTTCCATGCCCACTCCTGAAGCGCCCAAAGCCCGTATTGAACGAGCGGGTGGGCTCCGCTGCGCCACAGAAGAAACGGGGTCGACCAGGCGAGATATGAATAGAATTGGTAATGCAATGAGCGTGCGAAGAGGAGCCCAATGACATTGGCTGAGAGCATGGTTGTCATCACATACTCTGGCGTAACTTGCGCTGATACCCGGGATTCCTCTTGAGGGCTAAACGGGGAGCTAAGCCTGAGCATTGGTGCAATAATGGCAGGCAAAGGCTTTCCCGCAATTTTCAACCACTTATTCACAATGAACCATAGGAGGACTAAGGCATGCAATGCCAGCAGACCCATCGCAAAAGGTCGACTTAGAAAAACATCTTCACCGACGAAGCGCCAGTTGACGGTCCATTTGAAGAAGAATTGACGAGATAGTTCAAATGCTCGAGACAAATAGCCTTGCGCGTTAGCGCGAAGGAAGGGAACGGCCAAGGTGAATTGGACTTGGGCGATGATGGCAGCCAGCTGAAGGCTACCAGTGAATCCTCTACCCAGAAGTAGAATCACCCCGACCGCTGGCAAAACCAGTAGCAATGACATCTTGGCGCCTAGACCCAAAGTATACGCAGCAGTGCCAAGTGTCCATGTCCGCCTTTGAAAGAAATAGATTGTGAGCCAGAGAAAAAAGACGGCGAAACAGTCGTTGAAACAACGTAGTACGAATATACTATGGAGACGCTTCGATAGGATCAACATTGGGAAAACGTATGGTGGCACCTGAACCTCTCGTCAGTCAGTGAGTGCAGTGTCGGGACTTGTAGATCCCTGCCACTTACCTTTGCTCTCCAGTAGCAGGTCATTACCAGGGCCAGTGTCGCCATGTACAAGATTGCAAACAATTGCTGAGCCAGAAATATATCCCGTCCCTTGTCGGTCACATAATACAGGACAGTGTACAAGTAAACATGTGCTGCCGGATAGACAAGCGGGCCTGTCCCGCCCTTGATGACGGTATAGTCGCGTTCGCCCGCGACGTATTGCTCGATCTGTTCCATGTACGCTTTCCAGTCGATTTCGGTGTCTGTCGGTAGGAGCATGGTCAGCAATGCCGTCAAGAAGATTTGGCCAACTGCGGGTGCACTTACATGGGACTTTCCATATGACAACCGCGCATAGCAGGGCGTCTAGAATAAAGAGGCAAGGTGGTATGAGCCACGACAGCGTGCGGTTACGGCCATTGGCGACATCAAAACCCATCTGGACCGCTTTCGCGATCAATCCAGGTTCCTTGTCGGCCATTGTAATCGCTGCCGTTCCTGTCTGCTTGATTAGCGACAATCTGGAAAGCTCTACGTTAGGTACCGTGATAATACGTGGAAGCTCGAGCTTGCTACTGAGGTACGGTACATGTATGGGGGAGTGACTTATCGATAAGATGTGAGTTTCTAGTAAGTGCATAAATCCCCTTTTACTAAATACCATTTCGCAGACAAGTGCTTCTAGACAACGATATGCACATATAAACTGTATCCATGTGACAGATGTTGCCTCAGGCACCAACATCCATACCTCTAGGTAGACACAAACAGATACATCGGCTTATTTTACTTATAACTCGTGAGATAGGTTGAAGAGAATATGTAAATTCTGTGCAATTACCTATTAGATCAGTAGAATTTCTCCAATAGGTATTATTATAACCTCGGTCGATCCAAGGCTTCACCAACAAGTGCTACTACATCCTCTGCACATCCATACGATCCTTGATATCCCCATCCAGCGTGTCCGTAGTTGTGAACCACCCAAAGATCCCCGATCTTCTCTTTCTCGATTCTGACACCGCCGTTTCTGTACGGACGAAGGCCGACAACATGGCGTATTATGTCGAAGCCTTTCACGCCCTGGCCGTTGGTGATTTCCGGCATCATCTCAATCACACGACGCATGATGCGCATAGCCTGGTTAGGATCGGGCTGACTCTCCCATTGACCTTTTGAGTACGTGCCTCCGAGGACCGTACCTCCGCCAGCGGCTCTAGTCATCACATAACAGACTTCGTCATCAGCATCGTCCGTGCCGGACTTGGTTAACATGTATGGAGCCTCGTTCCGCACCACCACAACCTGGCCACGTATCGGAATGACATTCTGGTCCATTACACCACCGAGTCTCGACGCCATTAAGCCGGTAGTGTTGATGACCACATCGACCTTGCCGCCGGCATGGCTCATGCGAGCCGCTTCGGTGATGTGTCCCAATATCCCACGTCGCAAGACGACACCATTCTTACGGCACTGGCCAACCAGCCAAGGCAGGTAAAGCATCACGTTAATGCACACCGAGCCGAACTCACAGCCTGATGCCATACCCTGAGGCAGTTCTTCTTTGGACAGCTCTCTGAAGTCGTCAAATAGAGATCGATACCATGGGTTCTCAAGGAACAAGCCGTCGAAGCTATACCCACCTTTCCTCAGCGTATCGAGGTCCTTCTCACGCCGATAGACCCTTGATTCTGCGAAAATCAATTCTGTGAAGTTACTAGTGTAAAGGGTCAATTCTTACTCTGTAGATGAATGCCCGCCTCGGGGACCTCTGTTGCTAGCCTCCTCAGTTCTTGCCATGTTCGGCGTTCCCAGCTACTGTTCTTCTCGGTTGCCATCCTACTCATGTTACCTACAATCCCAGCTCCAGCCATAGATGCTTCTCTTACGGTAAAACATTAGCTCCTGCTATCGGGGAAGCATATTCTATATCATAGTCGCCAGGCATATGCTTTGCTATGACGGTGACAACATTATCTTGCTGCTTCGACAGCAGGTAGGCACAAGTTAAGCCAGATACGCCGGCGCTGTAATTTTATTAACTTTCGTATGCGACAATCAAACGATTGAAGGTCCGCGCACCCAACGACAACAATATTTGGCATGTTTTCAATGCTGGAGATTTCAAAAGATGTTCGGATACCACTTGAAGCGATGCGCAGAAATAGGATACAGAGAAGCAAGCGTTCTCAAGAAGCAATGGTCTAATATAATATTCTTTACCTCTTGAATGATGAAGAATTGTTGACTCTTCGCCGTTGGAGTTGTGGTGTCATAATGCAGCCGATACTGGCCGATGCTAGGATTAAGCTATGTAGGCATTGCGGAACCACTCCGACGCCGGCTGTAGCTCAAATATTACGAGTCTTGACTTTTCAATTCACCAGCGTCGATTGTCGACATTATGGCCGCATCAGCCGATAACTTATAATACTAGATAGAATTATAGGATATTGTAGTCTACACTAATTTCGCTACACACATCTCCGTTCCAGGTAGCTACAATTATTAATGTAGTCGTCCTTTAATTCTTCAATATTAAAAGGCTAAAAATGCTTTCTTATCATACGTCTTTAAAGGCATCCTACAGCTATCCACGAATCATCGCGCCATGTCAGTTGAACAATTTGTACGGCCATCATATTCCATACACTAAACCCTATGTAGAACGTGTAATGATTTTGACCATTCTCATTGGTATCGACACATGCATTTTATGTTTACCGTTCAACGATTATCTTGTACGCCTTGGTACTGTGAATAGATATCTTGATCAATATATAAAATACTGAGGAGCTTTCTCCCTCTGGTTCCTCCTCCACCTATGATATAGAGATATTTGCAATTTGACAATGAATTTTACCCCTTCGATAGTCTCCAGCTAGTCGGCCAATAATGCAAGCCCTAATCTAACTATTGAACTATTCCGACAATTATCTACTTTAGCAGAACTCTATCTCTTTGTAGCCTTTTCTGATATAGGATACTCTTCTGTTTTGGACCTTTGTTCTTTGCTCTTAGTAGGGTAGTAAATGAGGTATTGAAATGTTTGTTGGTCCGCTAAGCGATATCAAGTCTCGGGGGTTAACAAGTGCATGACTCCTTAAATCAGGACAGATCTATCAGTAACTATAGACTATATCGAGAATTTGTGCCTCTCAGCTGCCTCTGGAGAAGTAACAAGAGCCGGGGCAACGGCTAAGACGCGAGCGATTCTCTCGCTATGGCGAGGATAATTTTATCGCTAAGTTGTTCTATGGGAAAATGGCAATATGCGGTAACTATGTATTAGAGGTGGAATCTCTTAAAGA